GACGGGAGACAGAAAACAATAACTGGTATGCATTTAGCTGTATCCTACTATGTTGTCTTCAGTGGATGGCAATGTGGCTCATACCAGTAGAGAGGCCCACAGTAATGGAAACCAGTTTGTTCCATTTCATAGCAGGTATGTGATTCAAAGCCAGTCTCTCCTGTGACCTGGTACCATGGTGCTTCAAAACCAACTTATGATGTTTGCTTGCTTGCTTTGATAGCAAGACGTTATTGACTGTTGATGCAACTGGCAGGTGCACTTGTGAAATACGTACATTTGATCTTTTCAAAATGTTGATCATGGTACAAATGTAACTTTGATTTCTGCAGATCAATGATACCTGGTTTTTAGTGGGGCCAGTGGCATACAGGATTGTATTATCAGCATAAAGCAAATGTCATGCTGCTCGTGATGCACTTTGATGCCATTCTGACTGCTTGTGCACCTACCAGGTTTTGTTACTTGGCACATTCGGCACAGCTGTCATGTGCAAAATGGACAAACTGAAGGTCTATGAGCAAATCCATCCATCAATCCATAAAAGCAGAAACAGAAGAGTTCCCAAAGATTGATGCAACAAATGTAAAAGATTAAATGCTCTGCAGAAAATTGTTTTGTGAGGGAAACTAACTGGTGCCAGTTGTACCAGAGATGAAGAGGCTTTATAATTTTTTCAAACATGGAGAGACAGAGACTAATATAGAAAAAGAGGTGAGCTAAGTTGTGCTTATTTCCCTCACTCTGTAGAATGGCATATTGACTAGCTAACAGATATTGAACCAACATAGTAGGATACAGCTAAACGCATACTTGTGCTGCCAGCATGTGTTGTACCAGTTATTGTTCGGAACCTGTGTTTTCTGTCTTCCGTTGTTTATGCACAGCTACTTGTTTTGATAGTATATAAAACTCTACCTTTTTTGTAATGTAGTAGTTTTGGAAAGCTGGATTTTGTGGTGTATAGCTTCCATTAGAATTATTTTATACTGAGCTATTGTTCTCAAACACATCTGACCATCACATCTGATAAGCCGAACTTCTCTTTACTGATAAAACCCCAAAACTTTCTTAATTTTTGATTTTACATGATAAAAACAGTGACAAAAACAATGCAGTTTTGCAGGTGCAGTGTGTCATCAGACACAGGCTCCACATTCTTTTTTCTTTTTCTTTTTTTGCTGTCATGCACCACCTCTAATTATCCCCCCTGTAGCCTTCCCTGATCTTCAACTAGACAAATATTGGACATTCTGCCGTCTCCCTCTTCCACAGCATCCGTTTCTTTGCTTACAGACTGCAACACCATCTTGCTCTGGCCATCAACAAGCAATGTGTGTTTGGATGCTATACTTTTGTCTTCTGTTGCTGTCATAGTGGCGTTGATTTTATTTTTTTAGTATAAAAGGTTGTGTTGCCATGTTGAGTTGAGTCAAACGTTGCAGTGACCAATACATCAAGTTCAACCTCAGCTTAAAAACTGACAAATACTTAAATACAACCGACATGACTTCATTGGAAACCATCAGCAACAACTGTTGAAACGTCATAATGAACTCTATGTTGTAAGCAGAACCAACAGAAAGCATCTAATGAAATGCTGTGATCAACAGGATGCAAAGCTTTGGACATATATTCAGAACATGCAGTACAGTGTTCCTTTTAATTAATTAATTTTAGAATGTCATCCACAACAACAGTTGCAACAGTTGCTGTGTTCTGGGCAGGTATAAAGCCTTATTACTGTGGCTGGTGCACTTTATTATCCAGGAAGCCACTTAGTTGTGAAATTACTGGAAATTTAGGGATTCAGGACAGACAGGACAACTTGGGGGAGTTGATAAGTTACAATTGTGACCATTTTTATGCAGTTGGAACACTTGCACTTTTGTAAAATGATGCAAAAATAATAACGGTAAAGGAATTATGGTTTTCTCAGCAGGACATTTTTTCCGTTTTTTAATTTTGCAGGATATAAACATCTGACTACAATCATTGATGTTATTTTTTAACAGAGAAGGAGTCGGTGAAGTTTTGCATCTGTCAGGTTTATATATGCAATCAGACATGTCACGCTTCATTAAGTCAAGCTCATTTCCACAATTTACTGGTAGTAGCAATGTGGACTTCTTATCTAATGACTTACTATCACTGCTCCTTGATATGACAGACAGCTAGTAATCAGGCTTTTCTTTCTGATAAAAGGGATGACACTGATCCTCTGCTCTTATGTGCTAGAAGCTCTCACTGTGGACCACAGTTAGCTTCTATTTTGAATGACCAGAGCAAGTTTGGGAGAAAACTAGATATTTCAGCTGTATTTTTTGATCTTTTAGCAATAATTTGAGCCTTTATTTTCCCGTTAGATTTCAGACTCAGTGGCATATCAAATTGCAAAGATAGCTAGCTCATAAGGAAACTAAATGACAATGATGTCATTATCATGCAGCATTTACATTGTGCTATCAACATTTACTACATAATCCATCCATCCATCTATTTTCTATACACCGCTTAATCCTCACGAGGGTCGCGGGGGGCTGGAGTCTATCCCAGCTGACTTAGGCCAAAGACAGGGGACACAGGACTACACTTAGAGACAGACAACCAAGCACACTCACATTCATACCTAAGGACAATTTTAGAATCATCAATTAACCTCAACATGATTTTGGACTGTGTGGGAGGAAGCCAGAGAACCAGAGAGAACCCACGCTACACGGGGAGAACATCCCACGCAGATAGGTCCCGGTGTCCCCACTTAAATGCGAAACCGGCGACCTTCTTGCTGCGAGGCAACGGTGCTAACCACTGCTCCACCTTGTCGCCCAACCTTGTTCTAAACTTCAAAAATAAAAAATGTGTGACTTGCAAAATGTGCAAGTCTAAAATCTGTAAAACGTATTTTACTGAGAACACACAGTTCGCTCCGTTAACAGAATGGGGAATTTCTTAAAGTACAGATACAGGACCACACTGTTGGTCAGCCTTGCCAGCATGGTGAGACATGAATCCTGACACATGGGCCCCATGACTGTTGTTGTACAACAATGATGCTGGAAGCAATCCTCATTCTGGAATGTAGTTTTAGTGAGCATGTAGTTGAAACTTTGCTGGCTTCATCAATCTGTTAAAGTGATGGGATTCTGTCATCCAGACATATTTTTAACTTTTACATTCATGTTCTTCATAGCTTTATTCAGACATACGACAGCAACAGAGAATACTTATTGTACATGCAACAGCGAACAAAATGTGAAATAATGTGCTAGCCAGCTCACTTGTTTGGTATGAAGAAAAGTACACAGTGTGACTAGATCCTGATTGAGCTTGTCTCCAAGGATTTGTTAGGTCCAGAGTAAAAACCAGTCGTTCACATTTCAAGCCTACATTATTCTAATACTCACATTCAAACCATAATTATTTGCTGAAGTGACATGTCAGCATATCAGAAATATGCTGACCCAAGCAAAACTGCCCTATATTTAATTGGCTGCTGCAGTAACTGGTAAGATGCTAGAGTTGGTTAATAAGCACTTTTGACATAACTCGTCCCATAATCAGAGATGTTGTTACCTCTGTGTTTAGCAACCGTCTCTAATTACATTAGCTCAACGCAAGTCTGCACTGTTTGTCTCTATTTAAACAGGCAGATCGTTGGCCACCTAAACAGGCTGTCTGCATGCACCACATTGAGCTATTTATATCAGGCAGATAGTTGGCCATTGGAGCAGGTCTCTTCATACAACACACGTTTTAATGAGGGAGAGGTTTGGCCAACCCAAAAGATTTCTGTTGGAACTGCAGAATTTAATCAGCCAGATACTGTTGTTGACTGCACCGACGGACCTTCAGTCACCTCAAAAGCATTTTGTACATTTGGGATAAGAAACTCGTCTGAGAAGATTGGCAGTCCATCAGCATGTAGAGTACACGAGACATCAGAGAGGCGTATGTAAAGCGATATAGCTACAGGTTCCTTCACATATATTTGTAGTGGAGAATAGTTGAACAGCTGTTTATTTTATCTGTCACACTGGGTGCAGTGTTGAAATAAACTATAACACAGGCCTGAGGGTCACTGGGTGCAAGCTTAGCCCCATTTTTTTTTGCGAGTATGTACCAAAACTACAAATAAAAAAAAGTAGTAGCATTTCATTATATTGTGTGGATTATATAGCCAAAGAGAAAATCACCCTCTGACTGAGGTTAAGCATTGTTTAATTTTATTGTATATTTTCTTTCTTTCTGGGGGTCTTTGCAGAATCCAGGGGATGTGGCGAGCACCTTAAACATCCTCAATGTCTTGGATGAACTTCTGTCAGCTGGTAAGCTCGGACAAGATCAACATTTGACCACTTAAATTAATTTGATATCATAATATTATGCAACTGTTGTTAGCACCGAAAGAACTGGAGGGATCATCTCAATGGTCAGAATTTGACATACATATCCGGAGAGCAGTGTGTACTCCAATAGATATAACAGTTAATGTAACGCTTGATGTGGGTGGAACTGCACTCAAATAGGTTTGCTATTTTAATGATACTAAAAATCCATTTAATAATTTTGCTCCTTTGTCCGACGCTGCTTCAGTGTAAATTAACATATTATTTGTGTTGAACAATCTATGTCTAGATTCACTCTGGTTGTCTGAACACTCATTAAATTTAACAAGCAAGGACCCCACTACAACAATGAGAGTTTAAAAGAGCATGTAATGGACAGTAGAGATGAAAATGTTGGTGGCTGAGGAGAAGAAGAACTCATTGTGGGGGTTTCATCATTTTGCTTGAATCAATTATGGAACTCAGGTGGTGTCTAGAAAGAGTCAATAAGGAAAGGAGGGAAGAAGGGGATGTATGGATGTGAGGAGGAATGGGTGACAGTGAATGGATGAGAGGGGAAGAGAGGGAGGGTGGAGTTCAACAAACAAACAGTGCTGAATTGGATTAATAATAGGAGGAAGGCTTGCTTAGCCGTGCCACCGAACTTTAGTGAACAAGTTAATTCATACACCTCTATTTAGTCAAGCACTCCCTTCTACTTCTGCTTCTTTCTGCTCAGGTACGGATCGTCGTATCCACTACATGATAAGTAAAGGTGGTAGTGAGGCCTTGCTGACTGCACTGGTCAACCATGCCCGCACTTTCAGTCCTGACTACAACATCCTGCTGCCACTGCTGCACCTGCTGGCCAAAGTTGGACACAGAGGTGAGGAGGGAAGAAAAGACAAATACAACTGTGATGTATAAAACAACAACAGCAAAACATTTCTCTTTTGGACAGTTTACCCAAACATCAGGTACATGGGAGTTATGTGGTGAATCAAGAATAGACAAATTCTAAAGAGACAACATAGCCATCAGGTGTCCAAAAATCCGAGACCATGAGATACTCCTGTTTTACTTCTATATTACATTTGTTTCAAACGTAATGCAAACAGATTGATTTCAAGAGGCAATAACAGTTTTTAGGAAAATGCTGAGTCAGGAATTTCATAAAGTCTTAGCCTTTGGTCCTGTAGCTTTAATAACAGCATGCAATCAAAGTGACTCCACAAATTAGTGATATATGTGTCCACTGGGAATGTTAGCTAGAAAACCAAGTGGATCTGTCCATAACAGAAAGTTGGCTAACATTGCAGATACTGTGGTTCATCATATATATTATATTGCATTGCATTACAGCAGCAACTAACAATTATTTATTCGTTAATAACTGATTTGTGGAATATTTTATTGGTTTATTCATTTATTGTTGCAAATACAGTATACAACACAAGTGAGTGCAACCTGTGTAATGTTGTAAAACAATTCAAAATTGTATCACCTCTCAAAAATTATATTATTTCCATGTTTAACAGCAGAGTATTTCCCCTGATGAACATTTAAAAACAAATACTTTAGAAAGACTATGGTGATATTGTAATTCCCTCAAAAGCAAAAGTAGTTAGTTAATATTGGCAATAGCTGCTGATTACCTTTGCATAAATTGATTATTCAGCATTTGTTGTTCAGTATCTCTATTGCTGTAAAAGCAATCAATACCAAGAACAGCACGGAAGTAAAAAAAAAAATTTCCAAAGCTTTGGAGCCTGTTTTCAGGAAGCTGTATTCTCTGCGGATCAATCAGATAAAGAAGTCGAAACCAGAAGTTTACATACACTGTATAAAAAGACATATAACCTTTGTTTTCTTGCTGTCTGACATTAAATCAGACTAAACTTTTCCTGTTTTCGATCAGTTTGGATTACGGAAATCATTTCTATTTGCTAAATGCCAGAATAATGAGAGAGAGAATTTTTTAAAGAACTTTTTATTTCTTTCTTCAAAGTCAGAAGTTTACATACACAAACATTACTATGCTTTCAAAGTATTTGGGAAAGCCCAGATGATGATGTCATGGCTTTGGAAATTTTTCATAGGTTAATTGACAACATTTAAGTTAACTGAAGGCACACCTGTGGATGTATTTTAAGACACACCTCAAACACGCTGCTTCCTTTTTTAACAACATTGGAAAATCTAAAGAAATCAGCCAAGATATCAGGGAGACAATTGTGGACCTCCACAAGTCTGGTTCATCCTTGGGTACAATTTCCAGATGCCTGAAGGTTCCACATTCATCTGTTCAAACAATTATATACAAGTAGAAGCACCATGGGAATGTCCAGCCATCATAGCGCTCAGGAAGCAGACTGGTTCTGTGTCCTAGAGATGAAGTGTTTTGGTGCGAAATGTGTGTATCAACCCCAGAACCATGAGCTTCTAAAACACATTCTCCCCTTTGAGTGTATGCTGTTCATCTTGGCCTTATTCTGTCTATATATGTACAGTTTAATATGTAACAATATGTTCGCAGACCGTCGTATTGGTATGAAGGCAGAGGATGCTGGAGCTGTGCTGCTGACTCTAAATCTGCTCAGACAAAACATCAATCATGCCAGGAGGGTCGCAGCTTGTCTCTGGGTCATCCAGGTCTTCTCTTCATCAGGTACACACCCGCAGTTGTGTTTCCATCACTTCATGGGACATTGCCTTAACTGACATTCATTTTCATCACAACTAATTAACCATTACAACTAAGTTCCTCACCCCAAACCTAACCATAACGTACACCCCTTACTGATAACAGTGTTTCCCTGATGACAATGGTCTCTTTTAGCAAGTTAATCAACACTGTAATAATTACTTGCTTGGAAACATGACAAAGATTTCAAGCTGATGATTTGGCCACCCAATTCCTTCAATTTACTTTCAATCAAGCATCTATTGGGTATTCTGGAAACACATAACTGATCCATGGAGGGCCCACCTTGTAACTTATTGGACCAAAAGGATCTGCTGATAACATCTTAGTGCCTGATACAACAGGACACCTTCAAAAGTGTGTGGAGTCCAGGTTTCAACAGGTCAGAGCTACTTTAGTAGCATGACCGGAACAACATATTATGAGGTAGATGGTTTTAATGTTGTGCCTGTTTGGTATATTTAGTTCTATTTAATTACTATTCTGCTCCTGTGTGAAGCAATTTGAATTAACTTTGTGTCTGAAACATTTCCTACTGTGGTTGTTTCTATGATACAGAGAAATCTGTGTCAGTATATATTTGTTGTTGTGCACAGTGACTGAAAAAACTCTCTTGAGATGAGGAATAAGATGGTCCCTGATGTAGTCTTAAACCAGGCCATATAACTCCTTAGTATTCTACAGAATAAACTGGCAGCCAGAGAAAATAATTAATGAAGTTCCTATTATCCAGGGAAATTCTAACTGCAGCTTAGGGTGGAGTAGTCTGTGTACTTTATATATGTGTAGATAAAGTTTGTGTTTTCAGACTGTAGAATAGAATAGAATAGAATAGAATAGAATAGAATAGAACTTTATTGATCCCTTTGGTGCAAACCTCAGGGAAATTGCTGAGTACACCCATAGTGTCCAGTGCAGAACATTGGTGCTTGAACTAATTTATCAAATGCCTCAACAATGGTGCTACAGCCTGTTGTGTTTTCCTTACAGTTTCTGCAGCAAACCTAATAGGAGAAAACCATGGTCTGGATGTCATCTACCAACTCATTCCTCAGTATACCACCAGAAATCTTCATACCATCAAGTAAGTGTACTGAAGCTTTTTTATGATCTCCACTGATCACTTACATCCCTCCAGTAAACACAGACCGAACTGGATTGGAGAAAAATGGTCAAAAGTTATCCCTGGATAACACTGAAAGATGTTTGCCCAACAATAGTACACTGCCACATTAGCACTAAAAGCAAGGCAAAATGAATTACCTTTATAGCACATTTTATATCTAAAGGGTGTGCAAAGTACACAGGCCAAAGGAAACCAAGAAACAAATGGTAAGTAGAATAAAAGCAAGCAAGCAAAAAAAAAAACACACAGTGTAGAATTAACAAAAGCAATAAAACATACAGAAAAAACAAATTTGATTTAAAAGAAGATTTATTAAAAGCTATCCTAAAGAGTAACTTACTTAGCTTGAATTTGAAAGTAGTCTATTGTATGTCAAGTCTTAATTCTTCTTGCAGTTTGTTCTACATTCGAGCAGCATAGAAACCAAAGGCACTTTCCCCATGTTTCATTCAGTTCTTGAAACAATCAGCAATCCAGCTACTCTGAGAGGTCTGCAAGGTTTGCACTGGGTCAGGAGATCTAAGTCGCTTGACCCTAAACCACTCATTGATTTATAGATGGGTCAAAGAATTTAAAATCTGATCTTGTGAGGACCTGGTAACCAATGTCTGAGAATCTGAGAACTGGATTGTCACGGATCAAGGGGAGCCCATGCAGAGAGCACACAGAGACTGGTCAAGGTTTTAACACAGATTTTATTTTTTTAAAAAACACAAATGAACTGAAAGCCAGGAATAACTGAGGTGGGGACTAGGGACAAAACTAACTGAAACTCACTAACGGCTGGGCAGGGGGCGGACAGGCTCCCAGGGACCGGCAGTCCGAGAAGCACACGCCGATGGAGTGGGTGGGCGGTGGAAAGCGGCAGTGGCAGTCCGAAAAGTGGGCTAAGGGGGAGCTGATGCCCTTCAGGATGGAGCTCTGGGGAATCTGAGGCTGGGCAGGCGCCAGGACCACTGCGAGCAGGACTGAAGCAGAACCAAGGCAAGGGATGGCAGGACCCAAGCAGAACCGAGGCAAGGGATAGCAGGACTGAAACAGAACTGGGACCAGGGATAGCAGGACCCAAGCAGAACTGGGGCAAGGCGGCCAGCGGCATACAACAGCTGAAGCTGACGCTACGATCTGGCAGGGAGTGGAATGTGGAACTGGCTTTTATGGAGATCCTCAGACGGTCGGGCTGGAGGCCGGTGACAGAACCCATCTGTAGGCGAGACAGGGGCCCTTGGGTGGTCAGGCTGGAGGCCGGCGGCACACATCGGAAGGCTAATGAAGGAGGTGGGATCCCTCAGGAGGCTGGACCAGGATCCAATGATGGCGGCGAGGCTGCTTAGGAGCCAGAGGGGCTGATGTGGAACGAGGCTCAGGAGCAGCCCCTCCACCAGGGGAACAGTGAGCTTACTGTGAGACCGTCTCCACTCAGGGGGGTGGTCAGCCGACTTTGCCCTGACTAGCACTGGATATGGCGACCTGCCCGTGTCAACCCGCTCAGGAACAGGACCAGAAGCGGCATTGACCCGCTCGGGAACAGAAACAGGAGCAGAGGCGGCATCAACCCTCTCGGGAACAGATCCGGAGGCGGCGCCGACCCACTTGGGAACAGGAACAGGATTAGGAGCAGTGCCGACCTGCCTGGGAACAGAGGCGGGGTCGACTCGCCTGGAAACAGGAACAGAGACAGAATCAGGGGCAGTATCGACCCACTCGGGAACAGGAACTGAGGCAGCGTTGGCCTACTCAGGAACAGGAACAGAGGTGGTGTC